CTGAACCACAGATGATGTGAAACAGCTATTGGGTCTCACGTCGGATAATCCTAGGCTGTGCAACTGCTCTGGGCCCAGTCTGGAGGGTTCCCCCTTCCTGAAGAGCCCTAAATCTCATTTCATATTTAACATCCTGGATGCAGAAAAATGCAGCCGCTGGAGGAATTTCAGCTGCCATGAAAGCTCTCTCATCGCGGCTCCCCGGCAGCCAGCACCGCAGCAAATCCATTAGCGGGCTGCTGGCATCCCTTTGGTGTCAGGAGGCTTCTGGGACCTGCTGGGGAGTTTCTTTCCGAAAGGAGAGAGGGAAACAAAAAAACAAAGGCACAAACACCTCTGTCCCCCACAACGTGGAAGAAAATGTTGCAGGTTTGGGTTTTAAAGAGCTATGAGAAGCAGGGCGCAGAGGGAGGTGCTGGTGGTAGGTTTGCAAAGATGTATGGAAAGCTTTTATCAGAACAACACCTGCTCTTCAGAGATACACACTCCTGATGATATTTTATGAGGAGTTTGAATGACAGACCAAAAGGCAAGATTTTATTTTGGGTTTTGAAGCAGACAGTCATGTAGCAACCAAGACAAAGTATTTTTGAGCTGCTTCCAGCTTTGGAGCTACTAATTTTCATCCATGAACAATTAAAAAAACCAAACCACCCTATGGTGCAGGCTGAGTGGGCTGGAGGTTATTAGCCACGAAGGCTAAAAAGGGTTAGAGAGAGGGAGAATGTGTTAGCTACCAGGCAAACAGCATTAAACCTTCAGAAGTGTGATGAATATTCATTGATGTGGTGGATCAAAATCCAAATACAAAGCACAAGGCGTCGGGAGCTGCAGACAGTGCAGATTGCACTGTCAGAACAAAGTCCAGCTACGCAGCCTTCTCCTGCCCTGCAAATCCTGCAGGAATCAGCTGTTCACAGGGAAAAACTGACAGTCTCTGGCACCCCAGAGGGTTGTGTTAAGGAGAGCAGAAGGGACTAGCTCCACGCGGCATCGCATGTTAATCGTCTTGCTCCCCCTTGCCATTTATACCTTTGAGCACTAATTAGATCAATATATTTAAGTCAGATTGTGATCTAATGGTACCTTCTGGCCTCTTCTATTGAGCCAGCCAGAAAAAATTATGTTTAATTGCCCCTGTACATACACAGCCAGGGAAGACAGGATGGGAAGGGTCATTGAAGGAACTTCTAGCCAAACCCCAAATCCCAAGGAAGGACTGATGGGTCTGAGTCATTCCCAAATAACTTTACTTTCACAGAAACAAGGGTGGAAATGTGTGCGATGGGCTCAGCCTGGAAGTCCAGGAAGAGGAGGAGAAGGAAGAGGAGGAGGAGGAGGAATAGGAAGAAGAGGAAGAGGAGAAGGAGTTTAGCCCATGTGCCACCAAGATCGACCAGGGTCCCCATGCAGGACAAAGGCCATGGGCTGCAGCTCAGCAATGCAGAGACACAAGTTTTGTTGGTTTTCCCAACCCTAAAAAAACCCAAAAACAGATCAAGCCTACAGCGCCCTGAGCAGTACTTAAATGAAATCAGTCATTAGGAGAAAATTGGACCCTGCTGACGCTTCCGCCCTTGCTTTGAGGAACTGAGAGCAGCAATTACTGCTTGCATATTCAACAGCCTCCTTGGCAAGTTAAATTAGCCTGTGTGGAGCCACGTGTTGCCAAAGCCTGTCTGTGACCGATGCCCCAACAAGATGGTTTCAAGCCAGCACCAGTATTGCAGCGTTGCGGTCTGCAGCCTAAAAATGGCAAGGGTACAAACACATGCAAGGGAGCGTGCATGCTCCCCTTCACACCCGCCTCCAAACCCACCCAGAAGCTAGGAGCTAAATCCTCAAATATGAATATTAGAGTGTTGTTTTTCTGGTTCCTCTCTGATCCCCTCCCAAAATGAGGATCCTGAGCGAGCTCTTTCTCTATGGGCAGCTTTATTTTCCTGCATTGCACAAGAGGAGAATATTTTTGTGCAAGCGCAGTAACACTCACTGACCGTGTCTGCCGAGCCCTGACCGATTTCAGCATCTTATGCCACACCAAGCTTTGCCTCCCCTGACCCTGCAGAGTTTCAGTGCAACCTGTGATGCTCCCAGCTGATGGAAATTTATAACTCTTCCAGGGCTGCAAAGTGACCTCCTTGGCTGGCAGTGGCCAGGAGGTGCTCGGCCTCCGCGGGCAGTTTTGGGAGACACCATCACCTTCACTTGGAGCTATTTTTACAGCACAGAGAAGGCAGAAATTTGGCACCCCATATGTTCACTGTAAGGGTGGTGAGACACTGGCACAGGTTGCCCAGGGAAGCTGTGGATGCCCCATCCCCGGCAGGGCCCAAGGCCAGGCTGGACGGGGCTTTGAGCAGCCTGGGCTGGGGGGAGGGGTTCCTGTCCATGGTGGGTTGGACTGGATGAGTTTTAAGGTCCCTTCTAACCCAAAGCAGTCTATGATTCTATGTTGCATCCTATGCTTGTCCCACCCGACCACCAAGCAATAGTGCACAGTCCCTCAGTGCTGCTCCCCATGAGCATAACGCCCAGTGCACAGCACAGTGCTGGGGTGCACGTCAAGCCCACTAATTACTTTGGATCATTTTTTTAAACAAACAATTCTAGCTGATTTTCCTCCCACGATAAGTCATGTCCAGACCCCCACAGCAATGAAAGCTAGCTGCTCCCAGGGCATTTTTCAGACCAGCCGTACATTTGAGGCACCCCCTGAGAAGCATCAAAGCTTTTCCCTCGCATGTTCTGATTTTTCACCTAGACTCAAGACAGCCGGCGCCCTCTTGGCCTTGCCTGCTAACACAACTCCTTTTTGGGTTCAGTCCCAATTGTGAGCCCTCCGAAACGTGGACGCTGCCCTGTGTAATGTCTGCATGTAAACCAGTGCAAAGGAACCCTTTTGAAAGAGGGGCTTCCAAGCATTATTTAATTTTAAAATTAAAACATTTGAAATTGAGCCCCTGTGTGGATGAAGAGCTCGGAAACAGGATTTCCTTCCCGTAAGCAGAAACCACCTTCCCTCCCACACAGAAGCCTGGAGGACCTGACCCATCACCAGCACCTCCAGCATGTTGTGTCGAGTTCTGGGCCCCTCAGTTCAAGGACAGGGAACTGCTGGAGAGAGTCCAGCGTAGGGCTACAAAGATGATTAAGGGAGTGGAGCATCTCCCTTATGAGGAGCGGCTGAGGGAGCTGGGGCTCTTTAGTTTGCAGAAGAGGAGACTGAGGGGAGACCTCATTCATGTTTATAAATATTTAAAGGGTGAGTGTCACGAGGACGGAGCCAGGCTCTTCCCGGTGACAAACAATGATAGGACAAGGGGTAACGGACACAAACTGGAACACAGGAGGTTCCACTTCAATTTGAGAAGAAACTTCTTCTCAGTGAAGGTGACAGAGCACTGGCCCAGGCTGCCCAGAGAGGTTGTGGAGTCTCCTTCTCTGCAGACATTCAAAACCCGCCTGGACGCCTTCCTGTGTAACCTCATCTGGGTGTTCCTGCTCCGGCAGGGGGATTGGACTGGATGAGCTTTTGAGGTCCCTTCC